CACACACACACACACACACACACACACACACACACACACACACACACGCACACACACACACACACACACTCACACAGAGCCCAGGGCATGGAGTACAGGGCCGTCCAAGGGCAACAGGTGATAAATTACAGAGCCTTCCACTCTGCTACTATTTCTCCCAGTTCCTCCCTGCCTTTGTTCTGCTTTGGCAGTTCCCCTCATCCTCCCCAGCCTTGTTAAAAGCTCTTTTCACCAAGATTAAAGACAGAAGGAAACACCAGGCTCAGCGTCGTGTGGGGGCACGGATGTTTTCCTAAGGTGGGCTACAAGAAAGGCTCGTCTCAAAGGTGTGCAGCAGGCAGGAAGAAAAGAGGGAGGCTTTTGCTTCCATTAGGTGCTCTACTTACCTTCGTGGGTGTCTCAGTGTCCATTGTGTCTCTCTTGTCATCTTTCTTCCTTGTCTATTGAAAGTGACATCATCAGATATTTGATTGGACTGCAGGGCAAACAAAGTGCTTGTGAGTGTGTCTGTGTGTGGGTTGTTTGGGGATTTTGGACTATTCTGTTCTGTCACTAACAGTTCAGACTAACAGCAGAAAGGCCTGCTGGATGCAAGTGCTTTCAGAAAAAAACATGTAAAGCACAAAATGGCTTTGAAGGGAGGGGGGATCTTTCATGGAGCCTGCAGACAGTTTCAATCCAAGATCAAAACAAATGTGTTTATGATGAGCACATTGGGGAAGCCCCACATTAACCCTACAACGTTCACAATGTTTACAACCAACAATGAGTCATTTTCCAGAGGATCATTTGAGTGAGACAGGTGGGCTCTGCGGTTGACTGGCATCGCTGTAAATATAAAGGTGTTTGTCACATCATGAGTCATAGGCCATACAGTAAAAGGGATTCCTGACGACACGCTGTTTTATATACAGACACAAAGGCAAACTATGAAGTAAGGGCTATTAAGACACACTGTGGTGTAAACATAGCCAAAAGGCACGGATGCATTAATTAGTTGAAACAAGTACGAGAATTTTGCATCAGCTCGAGCCGACAGATTTCACCTATAGAGGCGCTGTGACTGCAGCAACTGAGGTTTGAAAAGTCTCAGATTTAAAACCCAACGGACAAAAACTGAATGAGCCTCTCAGACAGACGGTTATGTGTTGGAGTGGACAACGAACAGTTCAGCTCTGATTCAAACTGAGGGGGTGTATTTATGTGCATACCTGCAGTGCACAGTAGTGCTTGTGCAACTGTTTGTTTGCTTCGATTTCTATCCCACCTCACTATAGTCCACTCTATACTGCCTCAGTGAGTAAATACCCTTGTAGGTCGCCACACACTAGAGCACATTTGAATTAAAGGGAATGGGAGCCTCATGATAACACAAGAGGGACTGCAGTCTTTGAAATGAGTAGGAGGAATAAGAGAGCATCTCTTAAAGTCATACTGAGGGTTACACATAGAGAAAGGTCTGGCATATCAAGTTCCTTTTAGCTATTCATAGTTCACGTCTCTTTCATCTTTCCATTATCAAGACAGTTGTAAAGCTGGCAGCTGTAAATAGATTACGGCCATTTTATCTATGAAAATAATGGCATGGTTGTCTTATCAGTCCCACATCATACTGACAGCATGGTTTCCATCCATTCATCAGCCATTTTTGCATATTTGTGAGGGTCATGGGAGAGTTGGAGCCAACCCCAATTGACGTTTTTATTATTTCTTTTATACATTTTCTTCTCCAAACTTTTTCTATACAGAAAACATCTCTGAGACGTGTTCACAAAAGTTAAATCTTGGTTTAGTGTGGAAGCCTAGTTCACAGAAGTCAACCATTTCCCCCATAATAAGTCATTCTGACGTGAAGGCTACATGCTAGAAGGGGACTTTCTTTAAGGCCGCAGCAGACAGGGTGCTCTAACGAGATGATCTGAAATAGAACGAAGGCATCACAAGCTACCCAGAGGCCCACAGACTGATTGGTTTTCACTTGGCAGACAACGACATTCACCAACAAGTGTTGCTATTTTTGCTGTGTGATTAATGTAACTTATACTATTAGTCAGTTGCACACAAGAAAACATCAATTCATATCTTTCAGATTTAATACTGAACACCACTACACACTCACTCCGTAGGTGGCCATGAGGTACTGAAGAGAGACCAAGTTCCAACGGAGCAGAAGAAAGTCGACGAGTTCAAGGGTCCAAGCAAACCCAAAACAGCAACAACCCAGGCATCCCATCTCAACCGCACCTCTAGGAGCCAAGGTGATGCTAAAGGGTTCAAACTTAATGGAGCAAAGGCTGCAAGCTAGATCAGGCAGGCCAGTTGTACTGCTACATTCACACATGGCACACTGTGACATATATTCAACACAGCTGTTGCAATGAAGCAAACTTTTTAAGTTGTCAAAGCTCGGCCCACTCTTCGGTATCGCCAATGAACTGCAGCTGAAAGCAGTTTTTCTGTCTGTGTTTTTGGAAGCTTGTTTCTGGGGTGACTGCTCACTTGCAGAAATGTTAAGGATCACTGATTCATTTCAACAAGCTCTTGTCACGCGGGCTAACAGCGGTATCATGAGGAGATCTCTTGGCTCTGTTCAGTTGGTGTTTCTGTGCCTACGGCAATATCACAATTTATTATCACTCCAAATGTCCTCTGAGCTTCTTGTACATTCTTCACGGAAGTGACGAGGTCGGAGCCCAGACGCCAAATATCAACTCTGTGCATATTTGATATTCACATAGTAAATCCGTTCCGTATGAGTTGGCTGCCTGAACTAAGGATTTACGACCCCTTTTAGTCAGTCACATACAGTTCATCCAAATGTGAGCATAATTACATTTCTGAAATACACACAACACGCTGCCAGTTTATTAGGTTCACCGAACTAAAACTAATGCAGTCCAATACATCCGCCCTGCAATAAATCCTACACTCATGAAGGTTATATGTTTGGTTATTGTTGAAACAGCTTTAAAGAGGTGCTAATTTAACTGTATGGTCATTTTGAGACTATATGAAAACAAAATGTATGCTTAACAGGTTCCTCAACAAATATAGTTTTCATTGAGAAAGGGCTTATTTAAGTTAGAGTTACTGGTCAGGGGAGATAAGAGGACCGGCTGTGTTAGCGGAAAGAATCCTGCTGACCTCCCCAGTGGCAGATTGCTATCTAAAGCCCAGCAGCCTCCTCCATACATCTTCTACTGCCGGTGTTCAAACTCACCTCTCTTCAACTCTTGCCACCAATTTAGTTATTCGTCCGCTTTCCACACACCACAGCCTGAAGGAGAAAAGGAGGGCAGCCAAATGTTATTTGTGGTCAGCTGTCTGGAGCCGGAAAGAAGGTTTCACGTTGTTTGTTTATGCACTGCAACAATTGTTTTTTGTCCCTTGAAGTAGTTTTTTTGGGGTAAACTAGCCTGGACTAAAACAATAGGCCTTTTTCACAAATTACATTTTCACAAGTCCGTGTAGGTGTAAATATAAAAAAAATGATAGCTACATTCCCTTAAGCTTCTGTAGTAATATATTTGTTATTTTCATTCTATATCTGGAGAAAGCTATTGTTTTCACATCACAATAAGACATGAAAGTTCAAAAGAGCAATGTAGAAGACTCTAGTTGGGGTGAGAGAATTATTTGCTGGGGGAGGGAAAGGGAACAATGAAGTAATTGCAACCACAAAGAAGACAATGCAACAATGTCTTACTCAGTTACTGCTATGGTTCCTGTTGTTCAAAACATGCATTCTCCTTAGAAGTTCACATGTTGACAGTTAGTTGTGTAAAAGCTTGAACTCTCTTCAGCAAAAGGTTATTACTGAAATCATAACGGGGGGGAAAAAACGTGCCCTGATGCGTTTCTTTCAAATTCTTGGCCCCATTCCAATAATCAATCGTTTCCCTCATGCTATGACACACATTGACATATGGAAGGTCTTATCTGCTCTCACTTGACGTAACTTGTTAAGGAATCTTTGCATGATGTCATTCAAAATGTGTGGAATTCATACAGATCTGCTGTGAAGATCATCTTGCAGGTAAAAAGGGAACGAGTAGCCAGAGGCGCCTCATCTCCGCTTCTCTGGAG